CCAAACAGGCCAGACCAATATCCTAAATTCCAGACATAGTAATGTCTATAGGATATCACCATTTAGGTGTCCCTAAAGCATGTCAAACTCAACACCTCCAACTAAGCTCATTATGTCAGATCCCCAGGCTATGCCCTCAGTCTATGTATTCTGTTCCCTGTTACAGAAATGACTCTGTTGCCCAAGCTGTAGCATCTTTCCACTGACTTTAGAATGAAAGGTTGAAGTCCAAACTTCTCAACCCAGCTCATAAGGCCTCCATGAGCCATCTCAGTGTGCCTCTCCATCCCCATCTCCAGCTAGTCTACCTCCTTTTTTGCATACTAAGTTTCTGACATACCAAAATTGTCCTAGGGCTTCAATGTGCCATGCTTTCTCTCACCTTTCAGCTTTCACACATTTTCTCCATGGTAAAGAAGCTGTTCTGATTAATTCCCAGCCTTCAAGTGTCTGTTAAAATATTCTTGCTTAGGAAGATCTTTCCCAACTCTTAACTTTAACTGAACCACTTTACTCTCTTCCTTTTATTTCACCTAAAGCATTTAACAATATGAAATTAATTATTTTTCATATTTTTATGCAGATCTTATCCTTCTATTTTTGCAAGAGGGTGGACACTGATGGGTATATTTTAAAGGAAAGATTTACAGAATACTTTTTCATTCACTCTTAATGCAGAAATTATTGATCCTCTTGTTGATGTTCACTCATAACTCATAATTCTGTTACTTCAGTTGAGGTAGGTTTAATGGGCAGTTCCCTTAAATTTTCAGTAGCAACATCAAGCACCAAGCTGGCACAATTTTTAAATGGATATTTTTCACGGGAACTTTTCAAGCATTCTTTCACTTGTTACAGTAATAAGAAGACTGAGTAAGGTAGACCATCGTATGACTTTTAAAATAATAGTATGTCCCTATATTTCGTTTCAATGTTTTTCACAAGAAAGAAGGAAAAAAATCAATCAACATAAATAGAGTGTTAAAAGGTCCAACCAATAATGGAGAACTTTGGCCAGGAATATATTCAAATTCTTGGCTTAGGAGACCTTGAATGATATGAACTTACTGATTATTTTTCCCCAACTCCATCTCATTACACACCACTATCCCTCAACATGGTCCTGCACTGGCATTCTTTCAGTTCCTTAAATAAAAGTTCTCTTTCCTTATACCTACTTTCACATTTGCTTGAACTCTTGCTTTGTCTGGAATGTTCAATCTCTTTGTTTCCCTTCTTACATACTAACCATTCTTAAATTCTATTTTAGGTGCTGCTTTCACAAGAAAATCTTTCCCAAAAGAAAATGTTCACTTGTTTCCAAGGGTATCCAAATTCCATTTGCAGATGAGCAATGTCATTGTTTTGTGTGAGTGTGTTAGGAGATACTAATATCCCCAATGAAAAGAGAGCATAGTTTTACCTGAAGATAGAAATGATTCCTTGTGTTAATAACTTGTAATAAGGCAAGAAATAGAAACATGGCTTGAGAGTTAGACAAAAGAAATTATATAATCATTATTTTTAGATTAGTGATTGTATATGTAGAAAAATGCAAATGAATCCACTCAGAAATAATTAAATAAGTATGTAAAGGTTGCTGGATAAAAGGTCAATGTACAAAATTTCACCATATTTCCTCATAAAATAGACATGATTTTTAAAAAACTGCATTTCCAATAGCATGGAAAAATCACACATCTAAGATTAAATCTAACAAAAGATGTATAGGACCTTATATACAGAAATACAGAAGGTATTCTTAAGAGATATTGAAGAAGACCTAAATAAACAGAAGAGAAAAAATATATTCTTTTATTGGAAAACTCAGTAATATGAAGAATTTAATTATCACCCCAAATTTTTCTACAGATTCAGTGCAATCTCAATATACTAACATCATTTTGTAGAACTTGATATGTTTAATTAAAAATTTATATGAAAATGTAAATTGCTAAAAGTAGCCATAACACTCTTAAAGAGTATGACCAAAGTGGGATGACTTGTTATATAAAATATCAAGATTTATTATAAAGCTGTAATAAGTAACTGCAGAGTGTGGAGGTCTGCAGTTACAGCCATGGAATGTATCAAGCTATAGTAATGAGAGAGAGAGAGAGAGAGACAGAGACAGAGACAGAGAGAGACAGAGAGAGAGAGAGACAGAGAGAGAGAAGAGAGAGAGAGAGATTACATAGCAATAAAAAAATGAAACTTGCCATTTTTTGACAACTTGGATGGAGCTAGATGGTATTACGCTAAGTAAAATAAGTCAGACAGAGAAAGACAAACATCATTTCATTTATGTGTGGAGTCTACAAAAAATAAAAAATAAACAAAATAGAAACAGACCCATAGATATAGAAAACAAGCTCGTGGTTGCCAAAGAGGAGGGAGGATGGGGGGAAAAGAAAGCATTTATGTATACACGGAGGAATGTGTTGGGATATTTAGTAGAAAATATGTGAAATAGAAATTTTTAAGTGACAGAATGCAAACTACAAAAAAAAAAAAAACAGGAAGAAGAGAGCATATGGAAACCATAAAATTAACTGGGATTGAATTTAGTAGAAAATAAACCTCGAAGAGAATGAGCCTATTGTCTCTACATGTTCAGCTCTCTGTTAAGTTCACTGTTTTAGAAGCGAGTGTGGATGACTTACAGGCATGACACTTCTTCTAGAGATTTTTTTTTTTTTTGTAGTAGTAATAGATTAAATAAATAAAGTTGAGGCCTAAGGTTGTGTGAAACTTAGTGAGGCTGTGGCTCATACTTCTTCAGAGAGAGAGACAGAGAGAGAGGAAAACAAATGGGGGTCTCTCAGCAAGAAGGATCGTTTGACATGCAATGTGATCAGTCCTTAATCTCCTTCTACAAAGTCAGGCTTCAGAATTTTGTATAAATTCCCTATCCTTTCCTTAGCCCTACATCCTCAATGCCTGCACTTCCTTCCCTGCCCCCAATCAGTTCTCAGTCTGGCTTCTCCTTTGGAGGCATTCCTCTCCCAGAGCACAAATAGACATCATCTTACAGTTAGCCATTCATTTTGTTGTCCTGGTTTGTCCTGGATTCAGGGACAGTGTGGAGGTCTGCAGTTAAAGCCATGGAGTGTAGCAAAGACAGAGCATTACCTGGACATACCTGTTTACTTCTCACAGAAAACAAGGAACCTTGAGGGTGGCTGAGAAAGAGAGGCTTCTCTTCCTGGGGGTGGGGGGAGGGTGAACTAACCTGTTTTCCAAAGTTCTCTGTCCAGACTTCCTCTCATGAACACAAGCCTCCACCCCCCAGCAAACCTAAAAAAGGTGCCCTTTTGCAGGGCCCTTGAGAGTTCATCATGGTTATGGATAATTGCAAGTTACAAATGAAAAAGATATCCTCATTAACTCTTTTAACTCCGCAGAAGCTCCAGAGAAGTACAACCAACTTAATCTTGAGCTCTGTAAGAGCAGAGACTCAGAGTGTGACTCGTAGTTGTAATTCCAGCACCTAGCACAAAGTGTTGCAAAAAAATTGATGCTCAATAAATATTTAAAGTGGCCTGTTTCAATTCATCTAGTCCCTATTCCGTTAGGACAGCCATTTCTCTAGATGGAGGTGAGACAGGAGTCCAACTCAGACCTCAGTTACCTCTTCTTTTTTTGCTCATGGTCCCATTTGTTTCAGGAATTTTCTGGGTTTCACCCTTCAGAATTTCAACCATGGCCTGGGCCCTGTCATTAGCATGAGGATCCAAAAAGTATAAGTCCAAACTGTGAAATCTTTTGGAACTGAGCTTCTATTGGAGAATTTCCTGGTTATTTTCCACGTCGACAGGATGTGCCTTTATTTGCTTATCCAGCAAACGCCTAAGTATCAGAAAAGGTCAAGGTGCAGAGAGTCCAAAGAAGGACCCAGATTACTGCCTTTAAGTAGTAGTTTATGTGTGTACATGTCTGTATCTGTGTGTTTGGGTGAGGGACAGGTACCAATTGTTTAACTTTTAATTTTTATTTTTTAATGACAATTTATGACCAAAGATTCCACTTCTACTCCACCAGCTCCCAATATCTGCTTCTAACTTTAAGTTGGGTTGTGGCAATAGTGATGAGGTGCCTGCTGGAGTGTTGAAGGATAAGAGTTTCCCAAGACAACTCAGGAGGTTGCTTTTTTGTTTTTGTTTTTTGTTTCATGAGAACCCAATATCTGCAGCCTGGAGCCAGGAGAGGTCGCTCATCTTGCTGGAAACTGCAGAGCCCATTGCATATATGGGCCCAGCCCTACGTTAATTGGGTTACAGAACCAGATATAGCAGATCTCAGGCCGGTGCGTTTAACATGAAAAACTGGCAAATGAACAGCATCCGGTCTAGTGCCGTTACCCTGAAGAAACGAGCTTCGCTCTGAAGAGCCACTAGTTAGCCACAGCGGAAGTGTGAGACGGAAGTGGTCTCTTGGACCGAGAGCCAGCTGGGCCACTGCTAATGCAGGGCCTAACCAGCCTCACCCGAGTATTTCCACCCTTCGACCCGTCCACGGACTGATTCCTGGGCGTCTTTACAGTTCACGTAGCTCTGAGCTGAGGAGACGACCAGGAAGACCCAAGTAGCCGAGAAAAACCTCTGCCACGCCGAGAGGCGTGCAAAGTCTTCGTCCCCTCTTCCAATTGGCTGGGGTTGTCCAGATCCCTGTCTGTGATTGGCTACTCCCATAAAGATGCCGGCGCCTGGTCCAGACCACCGCTCATTGGCTTGGGTTCTGTGGGCGGGGCATGGGAGCCCAGAGAGAGAGAGGGAGAGAGAGAGAGAGGGAGAGGGAGAGAGAGAGAGAGAGAGAGAGGCAGAGGAGCGGGTTGCTGCTGGGGCCTTCATCTTCCCGAGGGCGGTGAGTGCCCTGCTGGCAGGGCCAGCCGCCTCTGATGCTGTGGACACTCGGCAGTGGGAACCAGGCGGCCCCACTTTAGCTTTTCGCCGCGGAGCGCTAGTCCGGACTAAGGAGGGAGGTGGGTAGACAGCCGTCCTCTTCTGTAGTCAAAGGTCCTGCAGAGTCACCTCACTCTGTCCCCACCCGCCCGCTACCCTATGCCCTTCCCCGCGCCCTGTGGCCATCCCTTTCTACTCTCGGACCTCGGAGATCCCCTCCCGCCCTCGTCCCTCTCCTCACTCTGGTTCCGCCTCTCGAATCTTTTCCAAGCTCCGCTTCCTCCACTCAAATGTCTTTCTCACACTGGCTCCCCACCCTGCCAAAGTCAATTTCGAAGCAATTAAACATTTAATAATTAAAGTTTTGTCAAAGTAATTTAGGTATAACAAAAAAATAAAACAAGTGGGTCTTATATCTAAGAGCAGTAGCCACCCACCTTTTAACTAAATCCTTTTTGCAGAGCCCACCGCTTTTTTTAATGTTTAGATCTTTTTATTACCCTACTAAATGTAAATAATATGCTTGCACCGTATTTCTTGATTTATCATTTGGATATATATTTATCACTTCCCTGCTGCCACCAATTTTTTATTTCTATTTTCATTCTTTTATTGATCTTTGTAGCTTTAAATCATAAATATCAACCTGCATCGTGTCAGCTTTAAGTGGTAACTCTTTAGCGCCCCTCTGTGTTAGGTGAGGATATTGACACTTCTTCCACTTCCAACCTGCTATCAGCGGGACCTCAACCTTCAACAGTTACATTTAATTCTCATATATTCAAAATATATTGGAGGCACTGTTCTTGGCATCGGGGATATAGCAGTGAATCAAACTGATAATGTCACTATCCTCATGAAACTTCCAGTGTAGGAAGTAAGACAATGAACACATGAATGTCAAATGATTAAGAGCAGAATCATGGAGAAATCATTTCAAGCTGGGAGAAGAGCAGAAATAAAGTGGGGTAGAATGAATGGACATGGGGTCTGCAGAAAAGTGTGGAAGTTTCTCTCTTTGCTTGTCTGGGCATAGGTGCTGTTTCAAAGGTGAAGAGCAAGAGCTTCCTATTGGACTGGGTGCTGGAACACCAGGATAGACTCTTCAGTGGGTTAGTGATTTTCATAAAACTAGGTTTTAGGATACTAGATCCCACAGTTTGGTAGTGGTAGTGGGAGGGAGTAAGCAGGAGGCCAGTGAGAAGGCAGGAACAGCTGCTGACCTGTAACAGAGAGTCCTGCAAGGTCTCTGTACTGCTCCCATTCATTCAAGAAGACTACCTGGACTACCTAAGCCACAGAGATTTCTCTTTCCACTTATATTTTTATTATTTGAAGCTGGAGAGGTTAGTAATTTTCCCAAGATAGAATGGTGGAGCCCAGGACCAAGTATCTGTAAAATGAAAATAGTAGAATAATGGTTTCTACTTAGAGTTGTGGAATAAACTGAGCTAATCCATGTAAAATGCTCAGAGTAGTATGAATTCCATACCTACATATGGCCCTGGCAGAAATCTCAGGTTTCTTGCTGGAGTAGTGACTTCATCAAATGGGTTCGATTAACATCAGATGACCTCTGATTTTATCTTCCCAGGGGTGTTGTTTCATCTCTGCTTCTAACATATCACTGAAGGCTGAGGCAAGTGTCTGGGCATCTTAGGAAATGTTGGTGCTGGAGAAGTGGGCAAGGGTTTACAGGGTGCGGGGAAAGGATTGCTGGTTCTCTTGTACTTTACACTTTAGCGTGCATATAGGCACACCAATTGAGCATATAGGCAATGGATTTCTAGCATATTACCTTTTTTGTCCCTTGAAGTATATAAATATACATATAAACAAACCAGAGAGTGAGACTGAGGGTATTTCTGGCCTTATTTTAGATACTGAAACACCCCATTTTATATGACCTTATCCATATTCAAGAGAAATAGTGCTGATCTGAAGAGCGTGGTTGAGGTGGAGTGGGGATGGTCAAGTGAATGAACCCAGAAGAGGGTCAGAGATGACCAAATGAATGAAAACAGAACTTCTAACATCCGCTTACTCAGGCATCCCTAGATGTCCCTCTGTGGTTGGTGTGAGCAACGTGACCTATTCAGAACTTCACTTGGGAAGGCCAGTGCTTATTAAACAAGGTCAGTAAAGGACTGAGGAAGGATCCAAAGGAGGAACTTGGGTTTTTGACTCACTAATTATCCCTTTTGCTGATCCCTCTGCTCCTCTCTTACCTTTTCCTCTTATTTTCCTTTTCTTTTTCTCAGCCTTCATTTTGCCTGGTTCTGTTCTGAGGAGGGTGTGAGAAGGAGCCATGGATCCTGCAGTGCTGGTGGAAGCTGTTGTGGAAGAGGTGGCCTGTCCCATCTGCATGACCTTCCTGAGGGAGCCCGTGAGCATCGATTGTGGTCACAGCTTCTGCCAAGGCTGTATCTCCGGACTCTGGGAGGTCCCAGGGGAATTCCACAACTGGGGTTACACATGTCCCCTCTGCAGGGCTCCAGTCCAGCCAAGGAATCTGCGGCCTAATTGGCAGCTGGCTAATGTGGTAGAAAAAGTCCGTCTGCTAGGGCTGCACCCAGGAATGGGGCTGAAAGGTGATGTATGTGAGTTCCATGGAGAACAGCTAAAGATGTTCTGCAAAGAAGATGGCCTAGTCACATGTGAAGCCTGCCGCCAGTCCCCTGAGCATGAGGCCCACAGTGTCGTGCCCATGGAGGATGTCGCCTGGGAGTATAAGGTGGGAGATGGAGGTTAGCCACCCCATTCTCTCCCCTGCCCCTCACTTGGCTATCTGTAAATCAAGGGCTTGACTCGGGACCCAGAGCTAAAGTGAAGACTAATTTCTTTGGTCCTCATACCCACAGAGCCTGATGCAGTGAGCCACACCTCTCCTTGCATGTATGGCCTCCTTGGACTTCCTTCCCTCTCACTTCCACACCCCATCCTCGATCTTAACGTGGCTTACTTCCTAACTCAAAGATGCTTTCCTTACTGAGAATTTGGGGGTCTTAGTGCCTTGGATGAATTTGAGTATGAGGTAGTCAAGGCTGTACCTATCAGAACCTGTAAACTCCTAGCAGTGCCGCAAATAGTCGTTTGACATTAGATAAGTCACTCTCCTCTCATTTTATAGACAAAAAACTGAGGCTTAGAAATTTGAGATCATGAAAATTGGTTTTAGAGCTGAAAGGAACCATGGCTGAGTCATTTAGGATCAAGTGAGATTAATCTAACACTCTAGAGTCCCTTCTGATGCTCTAGAGTCCCTTCTGACGTTAGGTTAAGTTCATTAAAAGTTAAAGGAAGATCAAAGGGTGTGACTCAGGCCTTCTTTCTCTCTGCCCAGTGTTCTTTCTCCTCTACCGCCTTTTTTTTTTTTTTTTTTTGGTAGGGGAGAGCCTTCTGTGACACACCTGCTACTCCTGTTTTATAACTACCCTCATCTACTTGAAGTTTCTTATACTTCCCTCAGTTGTCCATGCTGATATATCTTTACCAGAATCATTATCCCAATGATTCTGTTGTCCAATGATCCAGTACTGGTCTTAACGCTCTTTCTTGAACTTGAGATTAGAAGGTAAGAGTGTAAGACAAATCTCCAGAATTAGCTGATTTTCTATGAGAAGAATTTCTTTAAAATGTAAAGTATTTACTTACTCTTTTTGTTTTGAGAGTATTAGAATAGGGAGGCAGTGTTACACAGGCTAGGAGTTAAACAACTGGGTTAAATCCCAGCCCAGCCATATACCAGGTGAGTGACTTTGAGTAGGTCACTCCCTAAACCTTAGTTATCTATTAAATGGGGATAATACCAGTCTCAAGGGATTGTGAGTATTGGATATATGTTTGGTACTTAAGCCGTGTTCAGCACTTCGTAAATCTTTAATAAAATGGTTAATATTATCATTAGAACACTTTATGCTTTTCAGTAGTAATTGCTTGCATTAGTATTCTAGGATAGTGCTTCTTACCTTTAATGGACATTTGAACCACCCAAGGATCTTGCTGAAATTCAGATTCTAATTCAGGAGATATGGGGTAGGGCCCAAGACTGTGCATTTCTAACAAGCTCCCAGGTGGTTCTGATGCTGCTGACCCACTTGGACCACACTTTGAATAAGATTTAAGGAGGCTGTGAAATAACAAGTCAGATAAAGATAAAAAGAGGCATGGATAGGAAGTCCAAGGTGGTTTTCTGGCAGGCTTAGAAAGGGCCCTTCTCTTCTACTTTACAGAAACTTAGAGACCATGGGAGCTGAAATAATTCTGAAATCAGGAGCCACCTTAGATAGCATCTGGGAAGAATCCATTCCTTCTGTGGCATCCCTTTTCTTCCGCCATTCATTCTAGCCCCATAGCCTGAGGGACACTTGTTTTCCCATCACCTACCAGTGCTACAAAGCCTCATTATCAACTAGCTGCCCAAGATGCCTTCAGGAGATTTTTATCTCTTTCAGTGGAAACTGCATGAGGCTCTGGAACATCTAAGGAAAGAGCAAGAAGAGGCCTGGAAGCTGGAAGTTGGTGAGAGGAAACGAACTGCCAACTGGAAGGCAGGTTGACACCTGGGGAAGGAGTTTGGGTGGACCCTGCATTGTCCTGGAGCTGGCCCATGATAGTTTCCTCATTTCTGTGAAGCAGAATGTGGGATTTTGAAGTCAGAGAGCCTGGGGGCCTCACACCACCTCTCTCTGGCAGGCGTGCAGCCTTAGGCCAGCCATGTAACCTATCATTCCAGTTTCTTGATTGTGATGTAAGGATAATCCCTGGGCTTATGTCCTCACATACAAAAAAAGGAAAACTATGTACCTCACATAGGTATTAGCTCACAGTAGTATGACTTGTATAATGCTTAGTAAAACATAGTTTGGGTTTCACTTTTCCCAATTAGAACATATTTACTGAAAGTTATTAAAACACTGAGAAATCACCTCTGAAATAAATTCAAGGTCCATGACTACCAAACTATCAGAACTTTTAATCAGCAGATGGTAACATTGAACTGTTTGAAAATAGCATATTAAAATGATATACTAGTAGGAAGCAAAAGCCTCTAACAGTATAGTTGTTACACTGCCTTAGAAGCTTAAGTGTAATGTTCTGGTCATTATTCCGAAAATAGAATATTATTCTGAAAATAGGGAATGATCTACAGCGAGGGTCCCCAAGCCCCGAGCCACACACCTTACTAGTCAGTGGCCTCTTAGGAACCGGGCTACACAGCAAAAAGTTAGTGGCCGGCAAGAGAGCGAAGCTTCATCTGTATTTGCAGCCGCTCCCCTGTGCTGGCATCACTGCCTCAGCTCCACCCCAGATCATCAGTCATTAGATTTTCATAGGAACACTGGTCCCTGTTGCCAAAAAGGTTGGGGACCATTGGTCTAGAGTATATGGTACTAAGATAACATCCTGGGCCCTACTGGGGTCAATAAGAATAGTAAGAGGGACCCAGAAGCAAGTACCAGAGCTGTGGGAACAGAAAGGTAAGAAAACCTATATCCTTTATCTTGGCCTGTACAGTGCTCGGCACACAGTTGGTACCAAAACATTCCAGAGTGTGTGCGTGCACATGCCAGTGTCCTCAGTCCTGGGTGGCCCTTACACAAACAATATCAGTGCTGATTTCCTGCCTTGGCTCTGCAGACACAGGTGGAAACCCGAAAGCAGAGTATCATATGGGAGTTTGAGAAGTTTCAACGATTACTACAGAAAAAGCCACCAGGTCAGCGGCTGGAGGTAGAGGCATCTGCAGCTCTTGCCAGCCTAGAGCAGGAGGAGAGGGAGACCAGACAGAAACTGGAGCTGAATCATGATGCGCTCGGCCAGCAGAGCCGGGTCCTGTGGAGGCTGATTGCAGAACTGGAAGAGAGATCTCAGAGGCCCATCCGCTGGATGCTGCAGGTGAGTAGCAGGTTTTCCTGGGAACTCTGAGTGCCAGTTGAAAATGGGCCAGGACAGGCAGCTCTGGCATAATACTAGTCCCTCTCATCTGACCAGGGAGTCAAGACAGAACCTGGAGTTGGCTATTCAAGGCAGAACTTACCCTGCCCTGCAAACCTCCTGTAGGCTGTCCCCCTCCACCTTTACACTCCTCTCCAGGCCTGCTCTCTGCCTCCCTTGCCCTTAGAGAATCCCCTTCCCAGAGTTGAGTGTCTGTCTGGTCCCTCTGAGAAACAGCATATATTCATGTGCTGCATTTTTTCTCTTTCTAGGGTATTCAGGAAGCCTTGAAAAGGTATGTTCCCATCGTTGAGCCCCTAGGCAGCCCTATGAGGGATAGTGGGGCCTGACTAGAAGTGGGGAATGGAGACCCAGTACCATCGAAAAGCGGGTGCTGTTCTGTAATCTCCCTCTTTCGTTGTATTGGCCCAAAGAAGCTTCATTCACCTTTTTTCTTATTTGTATTTGGTTCATTTTAAGTATTCATTTTAAGTATTACCAATAAGAATTTCAGTAAAATATGTGATTTCGAGTAGCTCTCCCAAGGAGGGGAAAACAGCAGGTGTCTCTTAGTGCTCTAAGCTCTGAGTATATATAGCCCTTCTCCGTGGCACACCTCTTCCTCCTGCCATGTCAAGTGCACATCTAACTCTTTCCACACTATCGAAATGCAAATGTTTTCTCTGTGCCAAAATTCGCTGTTGTCAAATAACCATCGTATCTCTGCTTTGCCTGGTGATGCAGAGAGGGGCATCTCCCTGCCTATGTCCCTGGCCAAGCCCCTCTTCCCTGTACTAAGGGAAGGCCCATGGGGCAGAGCCAGGATTGCTGGCCCCAAGGCTTACCCCTCCTTCCTCTACCAGGAGCAAGTCTTGGAGCCTGCA